TAACTATGGTCACATCAGCATGACTGGCAGGTCACAAGGCATCTGTGTAACCTTGGTTATACAGAGAAATGCAAATGGGTACTGGTAGTGCAAACCTAAAATAAGTCCTTGTGGCTGTGTAAATCTGTAAAACTGAGAAACCAAAGCCTATATGGAAAGACCTAAGTAGAGAGGTAATACAGATCTTCAATGGTACTACTGTAAAGGCTAGACCTAGGAAACAGATACCAATATTGAAAAGCCAGACTGGCAAGAACCTCAGGTGAGAGGTACTACCAACCAGACTACTGTAATCGAACCAGAGAAAAAGAATATTAGGCCAGCTCAATATACCAAAAACAGGTTACAGTCCTATCAGACTATCTGGATTGGGAGTCTGGGGTCAAAGCAGGAGTATATTATAAGTACTAGAAATATGCTGTGAAGTAGGTACTGGGGTTTGGGTGAACTCTACAAGAGCTAGTCTTGTTAATATTCTGTAGAATAGATAGGTAGTTAACAAGGGGGTACCCTGGAACTTTACAGTCAGGTGATGTATTCTGGAATGTTTAACAACTTGACAGATATACAAAAGAGAAAAGCTAAATGTTGGGTTAGACAGTACTTAGTTGTACAGGAACTAGGTGTTACTCATCTGGGTGTAGTATAAGAATCAGAGTATTTAAATAGGCACACTTCTAGTAGATTACAGACATGCAGCTAGTATAGAACCTTTGGGTGAACTACTTAAATAAGTAACCAAAAGTTACACATGTGACTAGTTGTACACTTACCTTATACAAGTTATATGTAATGCATTGACTAAAAACACAAATAAAGATGATAGCTACTAATAACATCAGCTTTGAAAATAAAAAAAAAAATAAACAGAAAAATCAAAGTAATAGAAAAAAAAATAGAAGTAGTGTTATCAGAACTGTATAAATGGTGATGAGAGACCTGGATAGAAGATATTAAAGGCTGATAAAAAATACTTAAAGAAAAGAAAAAAGAAGAATAGAAGCAGCTGCAAAAAAAGCAAATTCAAGAAAATATAAACAAAAAATTCGAAATAATTAAAACAGATCAAGGTAAGATGATTATAAGTTTGCTCAATAGGCTATAGAAAAAATAGTCCTTGACAGATTTATAATACAAGAGAAAGAAAAAAAACTAATAATAGAGCCAAACACAGTTAATCAGACCTAAAAAAATACTATAAAAATTAATTTAAAAAAAGGAAAATCAAGCTAAAAAAAATGTTGAAAAGTTAAAAAAATAGAAAGAGATATATAAACCAAGTTGAATTAATAACTTATAATATGATAAAGTAAAATAGAAAGTAAATAAGAAGAAATAAAATAAAATATTGAGAGAACTCAAAACAGGCACAGTCTTAAAAATATTTGATATAAGCTACATATTAATCAAATATACAAATAAAAAAATAAAAAAACTTCAGAATGTTTGCAGATCTTATATTAGAAAAAAGAGAAATACTAAGCAAATAAAAGATAGCACAAATATATTCAATTTCAAAAGACATTGAATGAATTTATAGTCTTAATAATATAAGACTAATTGCATTAATTGAAACTTTTAAAAAAATAGTTATTAAAATAATAATGAAAAGATTGAATAAAGCATTTATAAAGAGACAGATACTTAAAAGGTTAAATTACACAGTTCTGCTAGACAATTTAACAAAATAATCAATATATATTTTAAATATGATAATAGAAAAAGCCCAAAAGAAAAATAAAAAAGTATAGTACTGTTATAAGACATAAAAAAAATGTTTAACTCAGTTTCATTAGAGAGCCTAGAATTAGTACTTAAAAGAGTCAAAATAATACAAAAAGCAAGAAAATATATAATAAATCTTTTTTTCAAAAGATAATTAAAAGTTATTACAATATATGGCCTAACAAAAGAAATAATAACAGAGAACAAAATAGATCAAGATAAGGTAATCATATCTCTAATATGGCAACTTTTTTATAATCTACTGCTAAAAAAGATTCAAAAAGATGAAATATTCAGCTATATAGTAGAACATAAAATAGAAGAAAGAACTTATAGCAAGTTTATTACAAGTTATAAATAAGCTGCAATAGCATATACAGATGACATTATATGAATTGCAAATAGTAAGAAGCAAATATTAGGAATTTTAGAAATTGTAAAAGAATTCTTTAAAGCCAATAATATTAAAATAAATGGATCAAAGTCAAACTTTATAATAATGAACACTAAGCTTAAAGATGAAAAAAGAAAAATTTTCTTTGAACAAAGCAAGATAAAAGAAAAACCAAAAAGCAGAATAGTAAGATTACTAGGAATTTGGCTAAATAATAGAATAAAGAAATCATTGGTTAGAAAAAAAGCAAAAGAAATAGTTAGTCAAGTGGTTAAGAATTTCAGTTACAAAAAAATAACAATAAGCCAAATTGTATATATAACAATACAATAATTATTCCAAAATTAGGATATTTACTACAATTAATAAAAATAACAAAAAAGACAATTAACAAAATACATCAACTTCTAATATGCTTAACAAACACAAATTCAATATAATGTATATAATAAATAATTGCATAATATAACACAAAGGCTTCAACAACTGCAAATCATTAGAGCAAGAAATAACAGCAAAACAAATAAGCAGCATATTCTTCAGACTGAACAAAAAAGATAACTTAGGTAAACTAACAAGACTTAGAATAACTTAAGGTTGCCAAACTGTAGACTTAACAAAAGATATATAGAATACAAAAACAGGACCAGAGAAGAAGAAATATTAAAAGAACAATATAGCATATTAAACAATAGTCAAAGCAAAAGATATAAGTATAAGCATTAGAGCAGATGAATGCTTATAAAGGGTGTATGGATATAAAAACAAAATAAGAGATATAATAGAAGCAAAAACATAAAAAGCAAGTAGCATCAAAATAAATAGCTGGAAATTAATCTATTGTTACAGGTGAAAAATTTGTGATGGCTTATGCATCACGATACATTGTACAAGCACTGATCAGAACCCAGGATCGATTATGCACAATCAACACCATAATGGTGAAATGTGCATAATTATGCTTTCAATACTCAAAGAATCCTAGCAAGACAAATATGACCAAATCAAGGATGGCATAGGATCGTAAATATAGTGTTTCAGAGTAGTGGGATCCAGATAGTAAAAGGGCAAGTTAGTATAGTTATAATTAAATAAACTAAAAGTAAAACCAACAGATTCTATTACTTATCGAGTTTAGGTGAAACCTGTGATAGTATAACTGTGTAGAGGTGGAATGATAGGAAAATAGAAAGAGAACCTAAAAAAATAAATAGAATTTATTAGTAACAACCAAAATGTATAAATAAGCATAATTTTAATAAAGTAATACTAAGCTTTGGTGCCCCCAAGTAGTAGGAAATGGATTGAAGTCCCTAGGTAATAGTATTAAATAGTTTGTAGAATAGTTAGTTAGGTATTAAATAAAGAAACCAAAGCAAATAAAAAAATAAAGTAATACTCACCAAATCTAATCCATGCCTTGAAGCCTATTTTTGCTGTTATATAACATTATATAACATCTGGTTAGTTGTACTGACAGACTCACTATTTACCTGTTGCATTTTTGGTGATAACTGTGAGATTCATTTATATCCTCTTCTTACCTAATTTAAAAAACAAGAAAAAGTTAGATTAAAAGGAAGGACAATAAGAAACATAAAGAGAAATTGGAAAACATACATACTGTGAAGAGGTTAAGTCATCTGAGCTAATGTACTGAGTTTGAAGAACTGCATATTTCTTGGGTTGCATCACTCAGACTGACATACAGTGTCTAAAGAGCATGAAGAAAGCTTAATCTGGATAATAGGACAAGAAAGAAAAAGAAAGGAAATACTTATCTGAAAAGAAGCCAGCTAACATATTAGAAAGAAAAAGCATAACCGTGGTAGATGTACTTACCCAAAATTAGAACAAAAAAAAAAAATTCATTAGAAAGTTGATAACAAGAAAAACAAAAACAAAAAAAAATAAAATAAAAATAAATAAATAGTAATACTTTTCTAAATCTGAGGAACATAATTCAGTTCAGGTTCTGGTGTTCTGGCAAACCAAGAGGAAGTTAAGACATTATTAAATATATATGAAAAAAAAGAAGCAGAGAAACTAGAAAAACATATATACTGAAAAGACTGAAATTAGTAACCATAGAATTGTAATGCCCTAGCAGATAAGAACTCCAATCAATCGAAAAACTGCAGTTTATAGTAAATACAGACCTTGTGATTATTGTCTATAAAAAAAAAAAAAAAAAATTTATTAGTGTTGAAAAATTGTAATAAACCAACAAAAAAAAAAAAAAAAAAAAAAAAAAAAAAAAAGAAGATACTTTCTGCTTGAGTTGTCCAGTATTAGATGCCAATATAAGAGAATCAAGATACTGATCTAGTTATGCACACATATCTAGTAGCCAATAAAAGTGCAATATTAGAAAAACCAAAAAGTAAAAGTAACCTTAATATTGTAGAAGGAAAACTCCAGTTATATAGTCATAGAGATCAATAATTAAACTTTGAGTCTAAAGAAAAGCAACGATAAAGTTACAAAATCAGAAAAATAAACCTATAGCTACTAGAAGTTTAAAGTCAATATTATCATAGTAATAAATAATTATTGGAACACATATAAAAAAAAAAAAAATACTTTGAACAAAAAAAAAAAAAAATGTATGAAATATATTAACCAATGATACCTAACTGAAATTGGCAGTATGAAACCCAAATTAGAGTGACTGAACTATGGCAAGACCAAAAGAATAACAAGAATTACAAACCAGCTTTTCAAAAAAGGTCCCAATGCTCCTACTGCAATACAAAAAAACACAACATGTTCATGTGCCCAGAGGTCAGAAGGTTAGATCTAAGGTGTATCAGGCTTATTACAACATTTACTACAAGGCAACTCCAAAAGGTTCAAAAAATAGTAAATGAAACCTTTGAAGATGCTCTTGATGCTAAACAGGTTCCTTGGGCCCTGAAATTTATAATAGAATTTGTAAAAATTATGTTAACTGGAAATAAATATAAAGAGATAAATAAAAAGAGCCCAATACTGATAAATAGTCCTTGCAGGAACACTCCAATGGTCCCCCTGAACTGTAAAAGTGGATCTGAAGAAAAAAATCCTAAAGAAAAGAAAAGCAGATTAGTAAGCATGAAAAATAAAGCATTCAAGTGGTATTCGAAATTGGCTAAAAGTGATAATTCGTCTAAACAAAATAGTTTTGTATAATGCTATGATGTAGGAATAGGTACAACCAAGAATAAAAAGGTAGCATTTGAATGGTATTTCAAAGACACTGAAGATGGAATTGAGATCAAAAAAGATGAACATATGGCATTCATTTATTATAAATCTGCTGAGATGGAAAACATTGATAGAATATATAATGACAAAAAATACTATTACTATAGAATTGGTATTGAAAAAGATGGGCATAAAGCCTTCAGATATTATCAAAAACCTGTGAATATGGAATATGCCAAAGATATTGGTAATTCTAATAGAATATTTAATAATGATTATTGTTATGAAAATGAGATTGGAGCTAAAAAAGCCAAACATATTAGAATTAAGAATAATGAACAAAATGGAGTTGAAAGGATGAAAAAAATGAAGTTAAAAAGGACAGATGAATTAGAGTCGAAAAGAATTAATGTAAAGTGATCAATGGTTTTTAAAAAGATGCTGAAACTGAGAGAACATTTAATGCCAGTCAATACTATGAGAATGGAATTGAAGTTGAAAAGGCTAACTATAAAGCACTTAGACAGTATCTGAATGATTCTGAAGAAGGCTATTCGAACGAACGAAGCTGTCTTGGCCCCTTTAATGAAAGAGAAACTGGAACCAAAAAGGATGGGAAAAATGAACACAAGGGAGTTGAAGATGAGAAAGCTAGATGTAAGGGAATTGGAGTTAAAAAAAAACAAATATAAAGCATTCGAATATTCCTAGCAAGCTGCAGACATAAAACAGGCTGAAGGAACATCTAATGCTAGTTATCATTACAAAAATAGAATTGAAGTTGAAAAGGCTGATAAAAATGGTAGACAAGATAGTTCTAAGTCCTGCCATGAAAAGAAGACTAGAAACTCATTTGAGCTCAAAAAAGAGCCTCCTGGAAATGTAGCTGAAAAGGATGAATATAAACCTTACGATATCCATCTGCAATCATGTGAGTTCAGCTCTTCTGTTGTCACGAATGCTATTGAACATTGCTATCGATATGAAATAAGTGTTGAAAAAGATGCACAGAAAGTCTTCATTAATTATCAATGACCTGCTGACATGGGTAATGCCAAAAGAACATCTAACAAAGTCATCAAATTAGAAAGCAAGTCAGTTGACTTTAGAAACTTTTCTGAAGCCTGTAATAAATGAAATAAAAAAGTGAATAAGTTTAAAGCATGGATGAATTAAACTAAAAAAACAACAAAACATAGTAAAACTTATCTAAAATCATGTGACCAAGAATCAGAAGGTGATGAAAAAGAGAAAATTATTAAAGTTACTATGTGTCATCCTCAATTAAGGCAAGCACCATCGCTAAACCCCATAATGATCCTAATTTTGAATCATAGACCTAAGAGAAAGAAGAAATGGTGGTTAGAGACCAAAAAGAAATTTACTATTAAAACAAATAAAATTATCTGATACTTATTGATACATTGTTTAGCCCTCAAGATATTTGACTCTGATCCATTTATTTTAATATTATTGGCTTTAAAGAATTCTTTTACAATTTCTAAAATTCCTAATATTTGCTTCTTAC